ACCAACGAATCAACGAATTATAATATGGCAGTAAAACCCGAGGGATGCAGATCGTTAACGTGTTCCACCTTATTTAAACCCACGTGTATGGATACGATGCTGACAAACCAAACATAGGGTTGGCGAATCGGGGATTAACACCCACGACGATCGATATCGGATCCTGGCATGAACTGGGAGACTGAACTCTGAAGCAGCAAATTGTGGTGACGGCGATTTTGTTTTGATGTGTAGATGTTGTTCAATAGGGTGTGTGTGGATTGTCGTCATTGCGAGTGATGCCTGTGTCATCTGTATAATGCACTTCCTGTGTGTCAATAGAGAGGAAACGTAAATAATCAACTGTGAGAAAGCGGTTGTGATAAGTGCGACAGGTTCATTGTTCACTTTGTATATTGTCGGCTGGGTTGAAGTGTACATATTTGATAAAGAACACCTACCACGTCTATCACAACCTAGTGATCGCTGAAAGTGTCATGGTTGAATCTGCAAAATTACTGATATTAATCGTTTTACACGACGAGTACATTATTTTGATAGCATGGACTATTTGGTGCTTCCTTGTCACGCTTAGCGTCTAACTTAGCGCTAGACTGTCCTATTGATACACACGGCTGCCAGTGTGAATGTCTATCTATGATATACTACTCCTGTTACAACTGTCCTGATGGTACATACGGCTACCAGTGTCACCGTCTATCTATGACATAATGAATATATATTACAGGTAGCTGCCCTGATGGAACATACGGCTTCCGGTGTGGTTACCACTGCAACTGCCTGGCCGCCGATTGTGATTCTAGAGATGGGTGCAGAAATCAGACCTGCAACAGAGGGTGGTCAGGACCGACCTGCCAGAAACGTGAAGCATTAACTTTTGTATTTCATTAAATGTTTAACTCTAAATCATCGTAAGACCATCAGAGTGGTAACGCTTATTTTGATCTGCATATTGTCAAAGTTCTTACATATACAATGTACATGTACTCGATAACAACAGAAAGAATCGTTTATTTTCCTCGAATGTTCATATCGTCATCACAATTAATTCTCTCCTTTGAGAAGACTTTTTGCAATCCCTGACTGGTCCCCTAGTCGTATTAAAATCCAGGCCTTTTTTGCTTAAAGCTGTTTCGCTTTGAGGCTTTAGCGGAAACAAGTACATCTTTCATATCAGATAAACGTCAGTGCAAGGTCTTACATGAAGACAGCGACAGAACGGCATTAACACCGCTTTCAACACTACGTCCGTTATATCACGGTGTATCAGTTTCATGTGAGAAGAATGCCCGAAGTGATGCTTTGGTACACGGGTATTGTTCTGTTGAGCCATAAATCGTCAAGGAGAATCTCGGAGTAAAACCCACGATCACCGGGTACTTGCAGGCCTAGGAGACATCTCCTTCACAGCGAATCGTAGTTACAGCGCCTTACACGTCTGCGCTATCTGTGCACATTTTCCTGAAAAAAAACAAGCAATGTGTAGATCAGCATATAACATGTGTTACAGCACTTTAAACTGTAATCTGTAGGTGTGATCCTCTGTTTCCGAATATGAATAGTTTTACACATTTTCTCTTGTGAAACAGTTGCACATGGACCTATGGTTGTTCTTTACATTATATCTTATAACAGATAACAAAGCCCTCGATAAACCAACAAAAGCCAATCGGGCCTTCATGCCATCACGTAACGCTGTAGACGGATACACCAATGCGAGCAACTATAAAAAGTGCTTTCATTCAGCCACCACTGGTATAAAATCTGCGCGGTGGAGAGTGGATCTGAGTGAGATGACACAAATTCATGACGTCACCATATACTTCAGGACAGACAGTGAGTTGGCTACATCCTACTGTAAAGACTTGTTTATTTCTCCCCGTGACGTCACCATATAGCTCAGGACAGACAGTGAGTCGTTTACATCCTACTGTAAAGACAAGTTTATTTCTCCCCATGACGTCACATAAAGCCAATAACCACCACTGTGCAGTGTATACCAAAACTACGTCAACCTTTTTCAAACGACTTAAAACTTGGACCTTGTCTCTGGGTTGTCAAATCTAGAAAGGTGGCGTTTGTTCAGTTCTGAGACTAGTCTACATTTGTTCATGGGTTCAGTATTATACACAGGCATACATGAAACTCACTTCGTAATGATTTCCAAATTGTGAACGTCTGTCCTATTTGTTATTTTACAAAATATGTAGATAGGAGTAATTGTGCAACGGTTGGAAGTTGCAGGTATTATAAGGGTGCACACACAAGCCCCTCCTACGGATAGCCCATTCATATCTGTCGAGTGTGTTAGGTGGACTACAGCAATGCGTGGAGTAGAAACGCAATCGACCGACCATTATGTTTACAATCAAGCGGAATGCCGCATCCCCAACTTTCAGAACCCCCATCCAACACCATCCTCAGCCTTATGTCCGAGAGGCATATTTTATGATGTTGCCTGTTTGTTTGTTGTTTAACGCCGCACTTAGCAATATTCCAGCTATATGATGGCGGTCTGTAAATAATCGAGTGATTGACAGTAGGAGCATCGTTCCATTGTGATACGATGACGTGTATTAACCATAGTAACCGAGCCTGACCACCCGATCCCGTTAGTCGCCTCTCACGACAAGCCTCGTCGCCTTTTGCGGCCAGCTTGGGTTGCTGAAGACCTATATATCCTTCCCCGGATCTTCACGGGTCTATTTTATGATGGACAAAGTTGTTGCTTATATATACATGTTTAAGGTATAAAACATATATGAGTGATCCTATTTTCATGAATATACATTTTCTAATTAAGACATTTGTATTAATTTTGACAATTAACAGATAAAGTTCGTCGGAATGGTATCCAGATCTACATAGCTGAAACTGACGCCTCCCAACCTGCCGGAGACAATTGCTACAACGTGACAGGGAAGGGGGACGGGACAGACATACCTGATATTTTGAACGTCACGTGTTCGGGTAAAGGGCGCTATCTAGTGCTGTACACAACTGTAAAAAACAACAAAGACCCAGTACCTATGATGGATTTCTGCGAAGTGCAGGTTTACGGTAGGAATCATGTTTCATATCATATATAACTCATCCATCTCCAAGTTTTGATTTTTCATATGTTCATTTAAATATCAACATGCTCTTTATTTTCCGCTGTTCTAAACGTGTTCCTGGGAAGGTATCGACCTGGCCCTGTACACCATTACTGTAATCAACGAAAGTATCCATGTTAACAATACAATGCATATGGAATATAATGGATGAGATGGCAAGTGTTGAATGTGATCAAAGTATGTCGCGGTACATTCTCAAGCATTGTTTTTACGTAAATAATATTCACTTGCACATATGAAAGGCACACAACGTGTCTTCTATGCTTCTGTATAAGACTTTGAGCATAAAATGGTCATCCCAAAAGAAAGACCTAATGAAACAAGGTTTGCAAGGCTCAGCTATATTATTTTATGAAGTCACAGTGCTCATGTCTGAAGCTCTTTCTCCAAATTTTACACACCACATTCCAATCTCTACAGTTGAATTACATTCTCTTTGTCGATTTATATCGTGTTTAGTAAAAATGTATTGCAATACTTTGAATATCAAAGAACAGCAACAAGGCATATTGTTACCTTCACGTATGCATATTATTATTTCAAAATGTCTACAGACGATCATTTAGATAATAGTAATAAGATTAGTTTGCTAAATGATGCGGTCGTTAAATCGGCTTTTGCAATCAGAATGGTCAGTGAATAATTTGTAAGGTGGTAGTCTAACAAAGGCTTTGAATCTCCATATATGTATTTGTCTAGAAACACCTCACCTCAGTAATGAGTATGCGCAGCTGCAGTTGCAACAGTGTCACTACATAACATATTGGGAAGCTTCAACAATAACAAATGACACAATAGATACTATTGTGAATCCTAAATTCCACTTTAAACACACGGGCATCGGTCGACAAGTAGTCTAAAGCGCTGCATTTCATCCAACATGCCCTTAAACATGTTTTCAGCCAAAGAAACGTATATTACCATGGTAACCTTAGGATTTCCCCCACATAAATTTATTTCAAAGGGCTTCTTTGAGTGGCATTCAGAAGTTTGTGTGATGAAGTAAGACGAGTTCTATGGATGAACAACTTCTTTATTACAATTAGTGCGACGTCACTTGATAAAGGTGTTAGGATCTACACCGAAACGTCGCACTAATTGTAATAAAGAGGCCTTAAACTCAAATAATTCACTCTAATTCGTTATCAATTTGACGAGTAATAGCAACCAGGGAAAAGAATGGCAACAGACGCATATTTACAGACGACATTGGTAAACCTTTCCTTCAGAGTAACTTTGTGAGTAGTTTTATACAGTATTTGAATAGTAATTTACGTTTAGCACAGTTCTTGCTACACACTACTGTTACTTTATGGATACTGGTTTTGTTAATTATAAGAATATATTTCTGAAATGTGTTCACCAGGGCGAGTATATGAAGTTTATTAAGTTGTGATGCATTCTATAAAACAGGAGAGCGAGGAAGGGGAACAAAGAAGATTAGAAAGGAACTAACTACAAACCATCATTACACAAATTTTCAATTAACACATTTTTGTTGTGTACTTTAATCTGTGTAGATGCGAGTACACATGTGTAACGTGAATGTTTTTATAGTAGGTAAAATGCATATAACCTTCCTGTTCCCTCATCAATAGTTTGCGGTCCTGGTACTTTCGGCTCTGACTGTGCCAACTACTGCCACTGTGACGGTGAGGTGTGCGACTTCGTGAGCGGCGTCTGTCCGAGTGGAGACTGTCTCCCAGGCTGGAAGCAAGACAAGTGTGACACAGGTTCCTATTTATTTTGTGCTGATATATTTCGTCAAGAATCAACCTTCAGCATCGTATATTAATCTGTGTTATAAATACCCCAACCTAACAAAAAAACAATCGACGGCCTGCAGCTAATTTGTAATTATATTAAAAACCGTCTTGTTTTCAGAATGTACCCCAGGCGATTATGGAGCAAAGTGTAGTCAGAAATGCTCTAATCGGAACTGCAAGACCGACAACTCTAGGTGTGACCACGTGACAGGGGAGTGTGCTGGGGGTTGTTTGACAGGGTGGAATGGAACAGACTGTACACAGAGTAAGACCATAATGTACTTACTACAAATTAATACTTGGCCTCGCATGCTGGAAATGTCTCTAGGTATCTCAAATACAAATTGATGCACCTAACCATAGGTGAAGCTTGACTTTCTCAATGCACTAATAAGAGTGGTATAACTATCTTTGACTAGCCCATAGTTCCTACGTATTTGGTGCCTGGTACTAATGTATTCATAATCACATTCCAGAATGCCTACTTACCTACGGGGACGACTGTGCTAACATGTGCTCTGACAGACAATGCAATGAGACATCGACATGCGATCACGTGACCGGGAAGTGTGAAAGCGGCTGCAAACCCGGATGGAAGGAAACTGACTGTACAATAGGTAAGATACCAATTTTAGTTTCGGAACACCAAGTCCATAGTGTTTAACAGTCTGAGTTAGTTTTTACTTCTTGGCATGCCCCATATCCAGGCATTGAACAGACGTTAATTCATTCTGTTATCCAGTCTCAATACATGCCCATCAATTGCAATACACTGCCTAAAGTGTGCTGAACGAACAGCAGGTTTTGGTATACACTGTATACAGGGAATGACCTTGTGTGTATGCAGTCGTGTGTTAATCCAGGCAGAATAAGGTATATTCTACTTACAGAGTGCATCCAGGGCATAGAGTACGGATCTGGCTGTGTTGGTAACTGCAGTGCCCGGATGTGTGATGGAGGGTCAGGCTCCTGTCCCAACGACACAGGCCAGTGTAATTCAGTCTGTCTGTCGGGGTGGCAGGGAGAAGACTGCGCAGAGGGTAAGATATAGCGAGTTATTGTCACACATGCAATACATTTAGAATTAGATTAATAAATAAGATGCCATGTTTTGTGTTACTAACGGACCTAAATTTAACTAACGGAGCGATTCAAATGGATCAGCTGGTCAGGTTGTGTGACTTGGTGGAGTGCCTGTCATCCTACCCTCAGGACGTGGCACGTTTCTGACTTTCTTCACCACTGTTTCTCTGATTTAGTCTCTATAATTTTACAAGTTGTCGATTTACAGCTGAAATATTCTTGACTTGAGCCTGAAACAATATCCAATGGCTTCCTTTGCAAACAAATATTCCTACCTCTAAAGCAAATGTTAGCGTGACAGCAGGACATTCCTGCAAAGTGTGCTTAATTAATTACAAGTGATGCTAATTACATACATGGCTTATATATGGCTATCTATTCACGCGTTCTGTTAAGTTTCTCGACCAGTCACAGGCCTAATGTGCACATCCCAATTTACTAATATTTCAGTTTGTAGTCCTGGTTCATTCGGTGTTAACTGTACAAGACAATGTGGCCAGTGTCGTGACGACAACTGTCACCATATCAACGGAACCTGCCTTACTGGCTGCAGTGATGGGTGGACTTACAACACATGTACACAAAGTAAGTCTTTCGCTATTATTGTGCTATCGACTTTCTGACAACTTTGTAACAATCACATATAATGTTATGACTGTGAGTTGATCACCTGGATATTTATTCCATCGTGTAAACACCAAGATGTTTGTAGGACTTACTACATTCATGTGGTACCTTTCACCCCAGATTCAGCTGGGCTTTTTTGAATTCAGGTTTTCGAGGGTCTCTAAAACGGGTTCCGAAACCTTGATGGCATTTGGATTGTTTAGTTGGAACTATATTTATCATTTGTCCTCATTCACTACTTCCGCATTCTGATAATTGACAGTTTGTCATTACATTCCAGAGGATAAAGCTGTTCCTGTCAGACGAGGGAGAAGCATTATCCATATGTTATTGTAATTGTTAACATGTCTTCAGAACTTTGTTTTTAGCTTTGTGGGTGCTTAAGAATTTTAACTTTCAACAGCATCAATTCCACATTACTTTACAGTCATCGAGTTTTCTTGCAAACCACGCAACATATTCATCTAATAATTGTTATATACATGTATTGCCAACTGAATATTGTCAACTCTTTACTATCTGGCGTTTCAGTCAAGTGACATTCTTCATAAATACAGTTTACACATGGCAGCGTAATCACATGACAGATTATACTGAAGACAGATGTTACTATTTCAGTATATTTTCCCTTCTGTTCTAGAACAGGTTGAAGCCTCAACGTCCAATGTAGGTGTCATAGCAGGCTTTGTAGTTGCCGTAATCGTTGTAGCAGTAATCGTTGCTGTCGTCGTTGTCTTACTCAGGTAAAGAAATAATAACAAAGGCTATTTAACCATGTTTTCACAACACCACGTGTGCCATTGAGTCAGTGGGGATTTGTGGCTTTGAATCTTGTGGCCATCTGACACTCTTCTGTAAAATGTGACACGTTACAAAGGGAAAGGTGCACATACTTACATCGGAACTGACAGAATCGGGTGTAACCAAAACAGAATTGGTTTGTCGTGCATACGACCTCACCTTCCCAATTTATAGTGTCATTATAATGTATTGACATATTTGAATCACACTTGTTGAGTTGTATTAACTAAGTAAATTGGTTTATCAATATCATACATTATGATCTCAACAAATGAGTGCGTTAGTGATTTTATAAGCCGCATCTATTCACGGTGAATATTAAGCAATGTAACCCATATCAAACATCATATCAAAATCGTAGTGTTGGGTGAGGGGACTTGTAAGTTTTCTGGTTTTATATTGAGGCCAATACTTTGATGAACACCTTCTTTGATTGAGCAATAACATCATATGGGCCTTCACGCACGACGCATTGTACTAATGAAAACCATTCTTATCCCAAGAAGACGGAGAAGTCAACATTCAAAGAAAACAGATAAGCATGCAGATATGTTCCGAGAGCAGACAGGTTCGTATACGGAATGACCAGACACAACAGTGAACCGTCATACTATCGAGGAAAGTTAACCCGTATCGTCCATTGCAATGTAATGATTTCATGGCGGTTCTTTTCTGTTGGTTTACGGATCTGCCGATCGTAAAATTTAAGCAAGTAGAGAATGATATAATTCTTAATACAAAGTATATTTGTTTTATAACCGCCAAATTTGCTGACAAACTTGATATAAAATGAAAATTTGATCACTAAATATGCTTATTTGCCATTTAAATTGTATTCCTGTTCTGTAAGGCGTTGTTTTACATGCAGACATTGGGATTTTCGTCGGTATGTTCTAATAAACTAAGCCAGAAGTAGCTATTAGCTGTACACACATTTTCTCCCAGACCATTCCCTTGTACCGGTGATTCAGTTAGTTTGATGCAGTGATCAGAAGAAATTGTACCTGAAACTATTATACCAGACATAATGAATTTCAGTTGCAATATTGTGTTATTTTAGTCATTGTTTTTGAAAATATTTAAAATAATAACATTAGGTAGCCCTTTGTTGTATTGCGGGATAGTCTTTACGTATGGGATATTTTGGCGAATCAACGGTAGAGGGTTCATGCGGTTTGCTATTTAGATTGTGGAAACTATATGATGACATATGATAGTCAAACTACAACAAATATGACTTTCACCTAATATTCATTTCAAGCCAGCAATAACAGTAATCTGTAACTATCGGCAATCTGCCGGTCAGTTCACACATGGTTTCCGATAAATTAACAACATTGAATGAATAAAATAAGTCAACACAAACATTTCTATTTCAAGATAAACATTAAATTATTTCATATTTAGTGTAATAAGACACGAGACACGAGCAGATTATAGGAGGTGACCTTCTTCCCATGTTTGAAGAAGGTAAATCACATCTGATATTGTGTGTGACAAGTTTGGTTATTCAAGTGTCTATTCTGTAGGTGTTTGGTACAAAATATTTTTTCATCACCTTCCATATGTCTTCACTGAAGACAAAAGCAAATTTGAAAGTATGTTGTTGTTTTTTTCGACACCCGATCTTAATTTGAAGCGGTGAAAGAGATATTTGCTTTCGTATCACTATGCCTGTAGTTTGAGTGTTGACAATGAATATTAGTTTAACCACATCTTGTTCAATGATGTAATTGGTCACGTTAAAGGTATCTTAAGACCACACGGAAGTTTATGAAGGAACATAATAAATTACCCCAATCCACCGGACGTAATTCGTTCATGTAATGATGACGGTATACCTTTTATCACCGTAGAGAACGGCGCTTATGGAAGAAGGGCAGGTAATCAGAAACCACAAATAAAGCCCAAACCTGCCATACCTGCCTCGTCAGGTAAACAGCGTTATTCTAAAGACAAAGATCAGGAGGAAGAGGACTGTGATGAGGATGTTCAGTCTCCTGACAACTGTTACTACAACGCAGAGGCCGATGCCGCCATAAGAGACGTCGCTGTGTCAGAACTAGCTGCGATGGTGGCAACACTTAAGGAGAGAAAAGACGGATTTGAAAAAGAATATCACGTGAGTTACCGAACGTATTTCCTGACTTTAAGTTCATTGAATTGCATTCCTAGTTTGTGCGAGTGTTGTTAAGACAAACATCTTACCTACAATGTACCTCAGATGAGTCTGCAAAGCAAAGTAATATTTTACAGGGTTATGAGTTTCTAACTCTGAACTTTCTGTTTGCCATATTGTCCCCACAGCGATTACCAGCAGGGTTCACCGCGCCGTATCAAGACTCCCAGAAACCTGAGAACAGCGGCAAAAACAAGTTCAAAGGCTACTACCCATGTGAGTAAACTGAAATTGGTGAATGTACTTGGAAGATGTAAGAGTAAGGTTAACCTCAAACAAATAGTGTAGAAACCAACAGTTTTAGCAGCTTAATTCAACATTTCAGACGACCATAACCGAGTCCGCCTGACACCCCTCCCAGACACTCCCGGATCTGACTACATCAACGCAAGTCTCATGCACGTCTGTATTTTTACTAATATGTTCTTATCATTTCATTTAATTGTATGTCACCCCCAATACTATACTGTTACGTTTGAAAGCTCGTTAATCCTGACACGAGAAAACATCAAGATCAACATATTTCTGGATTAACAACTAAAAGTGTTATATTAATGTCCTAAAACAATGTCAAAGCAGCGACTTGTCGGTACACACAATATATCTTCAGGTGATAAATGTGGATGACTGCAGGGTTTAAGTATCTGACTGCCCTGTTGCTTTGTTTCAGAGCTACAACAGGAGGAAGACATACATTGCGTCTCAAGGTGAACTGTTTGTTAAAGGGTGTATTATTTTTATTTGACAGTTGCTTAATTTGTTGATAGGATAGGCTATACACAAAATAGTATACCTAACCATAAATAAAAAGTAGACAATCATCTATTCGTGTATTTATGATCATGTTCATTAGTATTGGGGAATAAGCCTTAAGGGGAAGTTTGACATGTGTATGGATTTATATCATATACTTAGAAATCAAAGAAGAGGTGACATAATGTATTGTAGTACACCAATCAATTAAAAGCGTTACTCTTTGTAAATCACCCACCATTTTATGCATCTAGCTCCCAACAAGAAGACAGTGGGAGACTTCTGGAGAATGATCTGGGAACATTCCTGCAGCCATGTGGTCATGTTGACTGGTCTTACGGAGGAGTCTAGGGTAAGATTAAATGTTATGTAAGATTCCGTTTCAAATTTGACCAAACCAAAATAGCAAAGCATATAAGGTAAAGAAACACCAATGGTCATTTCAATTATTTCTAAATTTTAGATCAAATGTGAACGATACTGGCCGACAGGTGGCGTCATGGACATTGGTCTCTTCAAAATAGAGGTGGAGGTAACACAAAGCCGCGCGAACTTCACAACGAGACACATGAAAGTCACGTCCAACACAGTAAGTGCTGACAAAACCGACTACACTGAATATCTTCAACTTTCCAGTTTCTGCCAAGCAGTATTCCAGCAGTTCCAGGCTTTGGTATTTCCATGTGCACAATAGAACATGCGCCTTTCACGAAGATTGGAAGAGCGTCATGCGACCAAACTGTTTATGGTAGACACGTGAAGAACGCAAATTGACATAAATCAGGGGCAGAAATGATGCCCCATTCAAATCCCTTTGACTTTTTAGTTCCCATATTTTAAGTTTTATTTAATTGAATTGACTTGCCTTTAAGTGCTTTTGACAAGAACACCTTTCATCATCAATACTTGATAGTTGTTCATAAACACCTGCTTATGATATAATCGGAATCGTAAAATCAACTCTACTTTAGCAAGCGCTTCTTATGCTTATCAAAAGGGTTTTGGTCGTTGTTATTTACATTCATTTTAAATAAAAAAGTAGCTAAGCAGCAGCTGCAACATATGATTGACATTTGTTTCATGTTTGTTGTCACTAAAGACATACACATCTTCTATCACAGACAGGAGAGTTTCGGTCAGTTGTCCAGTTCCACTTCACATCCTGGCCTGACCACGGTGTTCCCGACATTCTCGCTCTCGTGAAATACGTCTGGCTGGTCAGACAGACAGTTGCAGAGACAGATGGACCTCTGCTTGTCCACTGCAGGTACGACAGTCTTGATCACTGCTCGAACACTCTAGGGGGGACAGACAGTCTTCACACTAAAGTGGGAAATGTAACGGATACTATTTCTAAGTCGTGTGTACGTACACAGATGCCTCGTTAGTCTGGATCATTAGTCTCTAAAACACGCAAGATTATAAACAAATCCACAGTAGACATCCCCCATACAGCACCGGTAAATGACATGATGCTTGGATCATACATACATACATACATACATATTCGTGGATTCGGTGAGATTGATAAGAAATATATTCATATTTACCAACAAAATCAGAGACGGTATCGGATATACAATAACACACTTGTATACCTATAAACTCTTTCAGCGCGGGTATTGGACGTACAGGTACATACATCGCCGTGGACTCCCTGATAGACCAGGCTCAGGGGGAGGGGGTGGTGGATGTTCTGGGGTACGTGTCCGTCATGAGGGGACAGAGGAAGAACATGATACAGACTCCAGTAGGTGTATTGATCAGTTATAATTGTCATGACAGAGAAATAAATTGTGGTTATAATAAACCCCTCATTTCTTGTACATTCTGCTTTATATACTGATGGAAAGATTTAAAATTGAAAATATATTCTGTTAAAGGTAAATATGTGTTATTACATTGCTGTTTAACAAAGGGGATAACAACTCTTCATTTGTGTGGTCTTTCACAATCACAGGCACAGTACGAGTGTGTCTTCCTCTGTCTGGTGGAGATGACGAAATATGGCTGCACCAGCATGGACGTCTCCAACTACACTAACAGCTACAGCTGCAGTGACATGGACACCATCATTGACGGAAAGACTTTCAGACAATTGTCAGAGGTAGTCAGCGTGTAACCCAATCAATATCATTTTAATCGTAATTACCCTCTTTTAAAATTCAAAAAGAGATAAGCTTCTGAAAGGAGTGAATATTGTTAAACTCATGTAAGCTTGTGTAGACCCCAGTTAGAAATAGAAGTGTTTACTAAATCAAGACACAAAGATTTGTTTCAAAGCCCTGTAGTCAATATATGCATCATAATTAGCCGTGATAATCGTGAGTAAACAAAAGGTAAATACAACTACGTATAGTAATATATAAAATGGTATCCGCGTTTCCAATCCATTTCAGTGACTCTCCAACTGCACATTTGCATAATAAAGGCAAGTTGTCGTGTACATGTACATATATCTATGTTCACAGATGCTGGTATCAGAGGCGCGAGAAGGTCAGTACACACATGATGTCAAATGCAAACATTCAATCTTATAAAAACAGCATTCTATGAAGGCAGCTCCAAGGACTCGTTAAACACTTATTGTGCAAACTGCCATTTCTCAAGAATCTCAAGCTTTTTCATGTTAAGGTGCCTTTCCCTAATTGAGTGTGGAGCGTATTGCAGAACAGTTTCATCAACAGATGAAAAGAATTACTTTCATGGAATCAAGTATGATCATCCTATTAATTTGTTAGTCGACAGTATCTGCGGTTCACAGTTAACGTACATATAACAGGATGAGTGAGTGAGTGAGTGAGCATGCATTTAGACCGCGTATTTTAGTACTATTCCAGCAATATCACGGCGGCGGACACCAGAAATGTGCTTCACAAATTTTGCCTATGAGGGAAATCGAACCCGAGCCCTCTGCCTGACGAGCGAACGCTTTAACCACTAGGCTAGCCCACCGCCCCATTAGGCGGTGAACTCATGTAAACAACCCGACATGGGTACAATGTGTGAAGCCCATTTCTGGTGTCCCCCGCCGTGATATTGCTGGAATATTGTTATAAGCGGCGTTAAACCATACTCACTCACTCATGTAAACAAATCGTTGTATCTATTGGTAACAAGAGTATCTGGGCCATTCCCTAGACAGAGAACTATATAAGGAGACTATACAATTCTTGTATTCTTACTTTTTGAATTTCAACATTCTGCAGATGCTCCGACCCGACACAGAATGTGGGTGGATGGTAACCCTGACTTCATTGTCCGTGTAGGACCGGTAAGTGGACAATATGCGACAGCAATATCTCAAAATGTTTTGATTGATATTCACCCAAACATCGTTTTATTAAACATGTTTTAAATAACTGACATTTGTAAAGTTGCAAGACAAAACTGAATGCACATTTCTCTTCAAAGAAAGAAATTCTGATCGAATGACTCTTTTCATCTGTATTATAGATCCAAAGTATGGAAATAACACGCATAGTAAAGCTGTTAGGGTAGAACGAGAATATTTGTCGCATGTATTTCTGTCCATCGCATTCGTAAATATCCCTCTTTCTAGTCATTGACGTGTCTAAGGGGGTACCTGCAAGCAACTGCTCCGCCGCCGGGATTGGTAAAGTTGTTATGGAAACTGGTAGAAGAGAACGATGTCCACAACATCATCGTCGTCACTCCAGATGTATGTAAATTGAAGAATTTGATTTTTTTTAAGAAGGATGTTCTTTAAACTTGTACATCAATTCCTAGATTGAACGATCGTGAACTCCGCAGCAGTAAAAAGTCATTCATTCTGGATTTGATGTTTACTTAAAGTCGGTTTTGATGACAAGCTTTGTGTGTATCTTTGCTGACGTTATCATGGATCTATACCTGGCACCATGTGGGAATGGAGACAACTTTATTTGTTTGACCATTCATTCCGTTAGTATATATGTCGATGTTACTATTCCTGTTGGGAGGTTACTGAAATTGGGATGGTTTTCTGTTTAAGATGGGGCTTGTGCAAGCAGAGGGCAGGTCAAAGACGCACGGGGAGATTACTGTGACAACAACGAGTCAAACCAACCTGTCGACTGACCTCACCATGAGCAACTTGACGCTAGCTACAAAAGTAATATTCGATCAGCTTACAGTATTAGTACACGAGTCTACTCACATATTTTCTTGACTAACCACAAGCATCAAATAAATAAATGAGATACATATATTAAGTATATACTTCGGTTAACTGAATACTGTGTTTGGTCACTGTCGATTGGCGAGTATTGCTTGCATTCATCATCATTGGACCACTGATACCATGATTTCAGTATCTGACATGTTTGTGGTAAGATGAATGGTTCCAAGTTGAATGCATTAAGTAAAAACTTCTTGATTGCCACTTAACGAAGGTTACCTATTGATAGGTAACCAACCACCTCTATGTTTATATGAATTGAAAATTCGAATTCCTGATCAGGACAGCTGGATAAACAGCTGTATATTGCAAGGAAATACAGAAAATGTGGGTTATTAGCTTTTATAACATTAACAATTTATATCTGTTGTTTCATTGGTTGAGAAAGGGTTACATGACCTTCCTTAACATTTAGACCAACACTGCCGTGCAGCAATGAAAAAAATACTTTGCCCTGTGTGATTAAGCCAATGGATTCAATGGTGAGAAATATTTTTAACCAATCAGCGAGAGTGTAACGCGTGGCTTGTTGCTGCTCATAATCGTCTGTGACTTTCCGTGAGAACTTATTCAAGTATTGGTGAATTTGAAATATTATTTATATTTTTAGTAAAAGAAAAATTATTGACCAAATTTCAGTCAATATCGTGCTTTATGGACCGTACGTGGAAACTGATATTGGGATTTCTTGGGTCCATAAAAAGTGGTATTGCCCTCATAAATGCTAAATAGTTGGTATCTAATGTATTTGTCTTACGTGTTACACAGGCAGGCAGACCACGGCAAGTGAAGATTGTCGACGTTAATGCACACTTAACTATGGAAGCTATGACATCACACTTGTTGAACCACGCTCAACTGCAAAAAACATCAACTCAACCCCACCCTGTTGTTATTGTTCACAGGTGAGACTGACCGCAGACACGAAACATATCATTTTTTTCTTTTACATATACAGTTTCTTAATTGTGGAACACTACGACAAGAAATTGTACTTACAATGTATCTATTCAATTGCAGCGACAATGACCGAAAGCTTGCTGTCTCATTCTGCATTATGGGTAATATTCTGTCCGGTATTCGTGAGGACACTCGTGTTGACGTCATCGGTCACATGAGGACATTCCTCAGATGTTGCCCTGACCTGCAGTTCACCCAGGTAGAGACACTGGAGTCTTCATTTGACCGATATGTTCTATTTACGAAATATAATATGTCACGTGTAATCCAACACGGGGCCCAGCCATGATATGAAGCACAACAGACATTCAAAAACGGTTCTAGCAAAGCCTGTGATTTCCTTTTATTGATTTTATGAGACTTTTATTGTTATTACTCTTACATATCAACGAACAAGGCCGTTCGTTTGATTCAAAAACATGTAACAGCCAGTTAACGTCTGTTATCCGTTATATTTATCAAATAAACTAAAATATTAAATAACCTAACATACTTAAATCAATCCATACAAACAGGCTAACAAAACATATAATAACCAGAATACATTGAGAAATACACACATTTTGTTACAAGAATTTCGTGGGTAATTACGTGACCTTGCCCTTGACATCGACTTGAGAAGTACAGTCAGATCCACTGCAAAATTTGCCCTTTCTCTCTATTGACATTGAAGTGAAGTGAAAGTTTATGGGAATTCCAGAAATATGACCATAATGAAGGACATGTATACCCGCAAATGGCGCGTAGTACGTTGACTAGAGCCATGAATGTCACTAAAGTTATTTAAGAGTTGCTGTACTTATAAACTTCTTGGAAAATGAATGCCACGAACGAATATTATGTTTAGCATAGTGGTTTGTGCATCCACACAGTGTAGTTTGTGTGACACTATCCGTTGTGTCATACAAGCCTTTGATGTTGCCTCAAACCTTGGTAGAATGCCGTGTTATCTATGGCAATACATTCCATTCCATACATTCCATCAATAATCTAATGTAGAGTAGTTCAACAGAAGAAATTCGTAAGATGTCTGATGAAACCACTTTCAATAACCAGAATTTGGTTTTGCTTTTCCAGAGTGATGTGCAGATGTTTCATGACTTCGCCCAGCAGTGTATTCTGAGAACGGACCCAGCAAATACCTATGCCAACATCTGAACTTTACACCACACTGTCTCAATGGACCACATAACACCAGCACATATGGTCCAAACTTATGACCAAACATTGCGCTAACACCATTGCTGATTTGCGAACGTTCTACTAGTCTTAATATACGTATATATACTCACAGACAGTAGGCTAATGTCATACATATAGTATTATTATAACAATTATTACTGCAGTGACAGGAATCGAAGGAATGGATTGCCAGTGATGTCACGGAGACTAATATATACAGACTCTACAAGAAATCGATGCTCTGTACATGTATGATCACATCTTTTTTCGCATTTTGACTAGCAGCATATTCAATATGAATTGAGAATAATGGACTTCTTATTTAGACAGAAAGTCATCTACCTATGCAAAACCATTAACCTATATGTATTATTGCTAATCGTCTATATTCTTCTTTAAGTTGTGTATTATTTGTTTGTGTCATTATCATAATGCATTCTTACAATGTTACTATGCAACAAATGTTAGATTTCTTATTTGTGTTGTTTCACTGCAAACTATACCACCTCTTATCACATGAAACTGTTATCACTTAATCAAATCTCACGGACACAATAGGGAGACGAGTAGTCTTAGGCATGAACATCCTGTTTTGTTACGACACGGCGCTCAGTGACTAAAGGTCAAACGGCAAGAGATGACGCTTCAGTGACAAAATGATGCGTGTTGCAATTCCAAATTTTGACTTTTATCGCATATTTCCATAATTATTTGGGTGACCACTTAGCTTGGTTTTACATGTGTTTGTGACCAGTGCCACTTTTGAAACACCTGGTTTCATCACGATTTGATTGTGATTCATAAACACGTGCCTATGATACAGCTTAAAAACTTAGTTTAAAACGAACTCTGTCCATAAATAATACGACTCCAAAACATGGTATTTAATGAAGGAATATCACCTTTTAAGTATCCATATACATTTTAATGGAATCCATAATTTTATATAGATGCTTACTTCTTTCACAGGATTTAACATAATTTCGTACTAGTTCCACTGAATTGCACATACAACCGTACTAGTTCCACTGAATTGCACATACAACCGTACTAGTTCCTCTGAATTGCGCATACAACCGTACTAGTTCCACTGAATTGCACATACAACCGTACTTGTTCCACTGAATTGCACATACAACCGTACTAGTTCCACTGAATTGCACATACATCCGTACTTGTTCCACTGAATTGCACATACAACCGTACTTGTTCCACTGAATTGCACATACAACCGTACTCGTTCTAGAGATTTCCACATATTTTCGTACTGGTTCCACTGAATTGCATATATATTCGTATTAGTCCTACTGAATTGCACATAGATTCGTACCAGTTCCACAGAAGTGCACGTTCATTCGTACTACTTCCACAGAGTTGCACATACAAACGTACTTGTAGCTACACATTTCGTCAATATAAAGTCATGAACAGTATGCTGTAAAGGAGTACCAACAAGACCCTCAACTAAATTTGAACAAAATAGTTTGTCGCAGGCTATTATAAATGTTATAAAGTAACTGTTCATCAACATTGATGTATATAAGTGCACATATTGACGCCGACATCATTCGAATTCTACTGTTTACGATTGGTTATCAACATTTTTAACAAGTTTGCATTAGGTAAAATAAAACGCCCTGCAAATGCATATATGCATCATACATGTATATAATGTATGTACATCGTATTTGTACGTTATTTATGCACATCAATAACGTACGTCTATACGTCATATAAGCACAACATCAATGACATACTTCATGGATGCGCATAGTGGATGTACGTATAGATGTGGGCATAAGCAGCACCTCCCCAACCCTGACTCCCCATCCCTCCGAACGCCTCAGCCCAAGCCTGTAAACTTACCAGATGTTTTGTTTAGGTGAAGTTTGCCTCTCCTTCCCGATTACCAGTAAGATATCCGATATACGAAAGATTGCAATATTCCGGATGATGATGTGTAAAGGTTTGTTTTAGCTGGTTAACCTTCAATGTTAACATGTCAAAATGAGTCTGTGCTGATATTGAAACCAAAATATAATTTAAATATCGTCACTATCAAATCGTTGTATTTTCTTTGATAAATTCTGTTTTTGTGTGCTTGGCCAAAAAAGATTGTTTGATTTGTAAATGTGACGTATAGTTCACTGGATATATTAATATATATCATAAATGTCTTTTACTATCAGTGTGTCTATTTGCTACTTTTCCGCTTTTTGCAATAAAAAAATAATTTATGCAATTTGGTCGTAATATTTTATTATGGAGTTTAGGCATGAATGACCTTGGCACTGCCAAGCATTGCTATGTTGTTATTTACTGACCAATTTATAATGACCAATAAATTAAATCCGAGTATTCCACCAGTCACGTTCCAACAAGAACATGGATCAGTTCTCACGAGTGGGTTTGCGCGATCCAGTTCTTTTTAAGAGCACACTTACACGTAAAATGCAGGTTCTGTTCCAAAACTTTCTGTGTTCACGCTGCCCTGAAAAACTAACATTGAAACTAAGATGCATTCACTGTCGAGGGAAAAGCTGGTACACTCTCTTCTGTCTGATGAAGATAAACGGGTATATGTTTCAGCAGTCGATCTAATGCGTTAATACTTACTTAACAAAGCGATGTTCTGTCAAGGGTCTTGTACTTATTACATTTGATGATCACATTGTGTCAAAACGTGCATTATAATAATGTCGTACAAATTGTGGCCACATAGGATCGTCTAGGCAACGATATAGGATTTAATCATTCTACGGTAGTAATTCATTTGTTATCGTTGAGTATACCCATATGAATAAAACAACTGACTTAAACGATTATATGCCTATTCAAGGCATCAGGCTATTAAAAAACGTATATGGCAAACATTTATTTTGTGGAGGCCATTTGCAAATTTGACGTACCAGCGGCAAATGATGTCAGTTGCAATTCTCTATTTTGACTTGCATTAAAAGTGTCCGTGCTTTCAGGTAAATAAACTTGTCTTTGCACGTGTTTGTTACGGGGCAGGATAAGCTCACCTCTGTGATTCATAAACATATGCGTATTCCAAAGTCGGAATCGTACAACGGACTCTGCTTTCAGTTGGATTTTTTCGTACGGTTATGGAAAGGGGTGTTTCGCATTATTTGCAAAAGCCATGTCAATTATTTCATAAGAAGGCTTGGGAGGAACTTTGTGTATACCTCTCAACCTCGTCATCATGTTTTTTTGCCGCCGTGTCATTTGTTTTAATGACTGTTGACATAAGCCATCCCACTGTATATATATATATATCTATATCTATATCTATATCTATATATATATACCTAGAACATAATTAAGCACAACCATATTTCCTTTGAAAACACTAAGCTTAAACCGCATCCAGTATTATTTTTCTGAAGAAGCACATTTGCCTACACATTGACATACTCATATTGAGATGCAGAAATGGATTATAGTATAAATTGTCAACAAAAGGCATTTAACTCACATTCATGTATGTGTTCAGGTGGACAATTGACTTGCCCTTGCTTGTGTTTGTGACGGATGACACCGGGGAGACATGATACGTGCACCTTTTCGCGAACACCTGGTATTATCACTCTCTGAAAGTGATTTATAGACACATACCTGTAGATCTAGTGGGAATGTTTTAGTGGAAAGTTCTTATAACTATGGATATGTTTCTCGTATATATAAAGGCAACATTAGGGTTAACATATTTTAGTTTCTAAATTAAGATCGACATGTGTCAAATATTATTTTAGTCATTATGTTCAATTGTTTGTTTTTTACATACGTTCTATTCCCGCATATCACGTTATTTTGCAATATCTAATTATATATGTTTGTGACATAATTAATGATTTATTAGTTCAATTTAGGTATCGCATTATTATTGCTCTAAACCAGACACGCTTTCGTTTAGCATTAGATGGATCATCAAAAGGTTCAAATCATTTTTTTTCATCATGACTGATAATTAATATAATCGGTTGAGTGGAGGTCATTGACAAGAAATATGTCGGGGCATACTTGTACCCTACTTTTAGCCCTGTAGGATAAATTTCCCTATACTGCATATGCTAATGTTGGGTGTATCCTTGGCGAAACACATCATTGTCCTGTCCAATTAACCCAATTAGCCTTCCTGGTGGACAATTCAGTATGTTAATATGTCCGTGTGTTGTGTTGTGCTTCTTGTCAACAGTGTGGATCTTGTATCGGGTGACTTGTTGCGTACCAGAAGCATATAAACTTGTACTGTCTGCCATTTAGGGCTCCCTATCCTTACTAAGACAAAACGCTACATTCATAGTCGAATCTATTCAACTCTTAACCGATGGGTGTGTAATATACTGAAATGCATAGATATTGGATTAGAACTAAACAAAACTACTCTGCATTTCAGAGGTTTGTTTAAGACCAACTGTACAACGTAGTGTTATTATTACGACACAACAACATATTTAAACATTCAGTGTACAGTTTCAGCTTGTTTACCACATGTCGTAACATAAAATACAGTCTGATGACTCGGCAGGATTTAGTGGTATCTGTGTCAAACTATGTGAACCATTCAAATTTGCCCACGGATGTTGCGGCGTTCACCCTCGTGGGCGGCAACAATTTGTGTGAATCTGTATAGAAACGTCTCCAGAACAGAAACATGCATACATTGAAACAAAGACACACGACAGGAACTGAACAGTATTTACTCTACCTCACACACTCACTTCCACACGATGATTTCAAATATTAACATTAACCATACAGTATGCAATAGGTTCCTCTGATTTTCTGTCGATAAAGATACAGTTATGTTACGAAAGTCATATTGTAAACTAAATGGGCTAATGAAGCATGACGAAAACAGGAAATAAACTCAAGGGCGATAATAACTGTGACAGCATCGATCTAAATGTCATCACCAGTGATTTCACGATACCTGACAATGTTTTCCTTTGTCAATTATTTCAGTTTATAATGCAAACTTGGTTGGAACTATAGTTTAAAAATAAACATGGATGATGTTGATCATGAAGTGTAAGCGATAAGGGCAAAACGATATAATGATCCAGTAAAGTGTGTTTCCCAGTGAGTAAACCTCCTTCATAACTTCGTTATTATGTTATGTAACTCCTTTAAAATTCCAATGAGTACAAAAGACCATTGTCACAACCTTCAGTTCTTCCAAATCTTGCTGTATGGCATGATAGATTTACTATTGTTCCAACTGACGAAACACCGCTTTCAATAATTTTTGTAAACAACATCGTATGAATTTCTGAAAAGGAAATATGTGTCAATCATGAACTATTGCAATAGACTCGTGGAACTTTTTTAGAATAAATCCATTCCAGTTTTATCCTGGTTTCCCAAGCTTCACAAGAATCCATATTAAGAGAGGTATATTGCAGGGTCCAGCAAACGTACGACCAAATCCACGCCAAAACTGCATGGGATGCGGGAGAACTCTCTATCCTTAGCCGGAAACCCCACAGGTGATAATATTTCTGAATATCCGTGTTAAAATGAGACATGGTATCTTGCTTGGCTGGTGGTGTTAATCTGGACTACTACATACAGACACACATAGAAATACATGCACTTTACATATGACTGTGACGTTAAACCCCATATCACTTCGCCTCGCCTACGTAAAATAAATAGTATTTATTGTCCTTTCTCCTCCTTCCCCTCTCCGTGAATGTCAGAAAATATAGAATTTTTTAAAACTAAACTGTACCAAATTAAAAACTTTACAATCCTAAAATTTTACATTTTGACCAGTTATCATTGTGGGCCCTCATTGCGTATTTAAACAGTAATGGCCACGTTTTGTTTTCAGATAACACCCGTTTTTGTGCAGGTGAATCGATCAAAATAATGTGCACAGCACTATAGTGGCAAAAGAGGTTTTTCACGTGCAACTGGTCACGTGGCCATAATACCGCACGTGTTTTCAGCCATACTTGTTAGCAGTCATTAAAAAAAGAAAAACATAAGAAAACAAAAGTCTTTACGGCCATTTGTCATGCCACGCCTTTCAAATGTGCAACGTGAAATTGCCATCGGCATATTACAGACGGGAACGCCCGTAGCTGAAGTCGCAAGGACGATGGGTTGTAGTCGACGGACTGTTTATGATTTACAGACGCGTCTACAGCAAACGGGTACCACCAATCTTCGGTTTGTTTATGGTAGGGCGAGGGTGTGGAGGCGCCGTCATGAACGTTACGCCCAGTGTTGTGTACAGGAAGTTGAGAGATTTCGAGGCGGAAGTGTCTTGGTGTGGGGTGCTTTCTGTGGCAATGCACGTTCCAGGCTTCTTGTCATCCGTGGCAACCTCAACGCTGCTGCTTACCGCGACCAGGTACTGGCACCAGAACTTCTGCCGTTTATGGCAGCACATGGGCCCGGTTTGATCTTCCAACACGACAATGCCAGACTAGACACATAGTTTGTAACAAGACATAATGTGGTGCGCACACTAATTTATTGTCTTTTATTACACGCATATTTTATATACCATTAAATATTAATGTAACATTTTACTAACATTAAAACAAAAAGTACATAGGGGGAATCTGGGATTTGAAGCTCTGAGCAGCAGATGAGGGCACGGCCAAGGGCTACAACTACACAGTGCTGTTTTATTAAGACTAGTGGTAGGCCTTATAGTAAGGAACATGCAGTAACATGGAAAAATGGTGGAATTTGTACAAGGTGGTGCCAGTCAGTGAAAGCAAACTATGTAAATGGAGCATTCCGAGACAAGAAACAGACTGTAAGTATACTGACATGACCTGTAAGTATACTGTTTTAGAACAATGGGTGGAGATAAACTGGTATGTCTACATAAAATGCATGCTTTGTCAGTTTCAACATTCTTTAATTCCTGACGAATTCTTCATTTGTCAGCTTGTACTATTTGTAGTTCCCATAGCTATCAGTGGATGCCTTCAGATGTTCTAGACACAGGTCTCGATTCTTTTGTTAATGGATTCCTGTGTGTCTTTACTCTTCTCCTCCACAGACCTGGGATTCAAGTGCAACCTGCATGTTAAACGGGAGAAACACATGTTAATACCAAGACGAAATATTTCATAATTCCGCATAACCATATTTATCATATAATGGGTAAGTTTCTCGGCAGAAAAAAGCCAACGAGTTAAAACGATATCCGCTGGGGTCATATGCGGATAGAGATGCAAATATCAAAGGTCAAGTAGGGACTACTTTCAGTGTTTACAAACAAACATGGCGTCGCCTTTGTCATAAGGCGATCGAGTCGGAATTAACCATTGGAGATCTAGAGAAACTACTGGGATAATTGTTATCATTATCAAAAAAATAGTCTAATATACTGAAAAAGTCAGTGTATAATGTAACGTAGCTAAGGCATTTGACAAGTTTTTGCAACTTTAGAGACATAAATTGCGAAACAATTTTGCGAGGGCACTCGACAAGCGGGATCAGTTTCTCTGTGCTCGTAAGCCTCTGCGGCTTGAAACCGCACAAATTAAAACAGTTGGACTTGGACGAAATAGGTTTGAATTGTTCGCTTGTTTCGTTTTGTCGCTGTGTGTACATCGGGACAGGCCGCCTGTCAACAACGTCTGTCTTTGGCCGTGACGTCTCATAGACTAGGGTTAGAGTAGCTACCCTTTGATAGGTAAGTATCAGGTGAGTAAAAAACAATTTGTGTAGGCAGTTGTTGTTTTGCATATATGTAGTTAAGCCACTGTATAAGAAACAGGTTTCAGTTGGAACTATACTCAACAAAAGTTCATGTGACACCAATATCTTAGTGTATTTTTCAAACAAGTAAAGTTTGGTTTTCAATATTGTAGTACATGTATGGAATCAAGTAACAAAAACGCAACTGTTACAGAAAAGCATGCATTCCATGCAAAAGTTGACTTGTATGCAAGCCCCATGCATTTCACTACCCAAGAATGGGTATAAAAACATGTCCGTTAACGGGATTCCATATGCATTGTTTAGCATCGTGCTGATAACAACCACTCAGAAAAAACAAACTTACGCAATTATTCAACATTACGAAATGCAGCGTCTGCGAGCCATTGGTTTGGTTGAATGAGGGTCGAGTCAACGTGATGTTGCAAGACAATTTAACGTCCACAGAAACACCATTTGGTGTTTATGACAACGTTGGCAACAGACGAATGCAGTCAGAGACCATCCTCGAAGTGGCAGGCCACGCATAACCAATAATCGACAAGACAAGTGGATTCGACCAACACACCTACGAAATCGATTCCAGCCAACAACAGTGACTGCAAGAAGTATCCCTGGCCTTCGACGAATACCATAACAAACCGTACGTCGTCACCTCAGATGCGCAGGGATTGCCGCCAGAAGACCCGCCCGACGTCCCATTTTGACAGGAAACCACCGTCAAGCACGTCTACAGTGGTGCAGACAGCGTCTACGCTGGACGGCCATGCAGTGGGGACAAGTTCTATTCACTGACGAGTCTCATTTTCACTTCAGCCACAGCGATGGACGGATTCGAGTGTACCGACGTCGAGATGAACGTTACGTCAATCATTGTGTCATGGAAGAAAATCGGTTCGGGGGCGGCAGCGTTATGGTATGGGGTGGGATTACAGCAAGACAGAGGACCCGTTTGATAGTGGTAGGGGGACAGTGCTACCGCGACGAGATCACTGGCCCTGTTGTTCTACCGTTTTTGCGTCATCATGGCCCAGGCATTACCTTTCAACATGACAACGCCTAGCCTCATATTGCTCGACTTGTTCAGGATTCTCTTCAACAAAACAACCTGAATGTCATCCCTTTGCCGGCTCGCTCCCCTGATCTCTCACCAATCGAGCACATGGGTGATGAGATGGACCGGCGCTTTCGACGTCAACCACGTGTTCGACAGACACTCCAGGAACTTCGAAACATGCTTCAGCAGATATGGACAGATATCCCACAGGACTTTGTGCGACGTCTGGTCCATTCCATGAGACGAAGATGTGTTGCTTGCATCGCAACCAGAGGTGGGCACACACGCTATTGATTTGTAAATTAACATTTTGGCATGTTCATGGTTTTTTATGAAATCACGCATTTTCTGAAGTCAGTCTGGCAAATGAAACCATTTGGACATTTGCAGGAGTATTCTATCTGTTGCAAAACGAAATTGTTTCAGATTTGGTAAAAAATGTAACTTTGCATTTAATCTTATTAAATGTCACAGGAACTTTTGTTGTTCAGTATATATTGGCTACTGTCATTGTCCGACTGAGAAATCACTTACCCTCTGACGTAGTATATTTTAATGGGTACATTCAAGGAAAACTTGCAATGCTTAGGTATAAATGTTTGTGAGAGATGGAAGATATTTTCGAGTACAGAAATGAAGAATGACATTATATGATAAAGAGGTCATCCCCAAACACACTCGCGTGATACCCTCAGTCATTGCTCTTTATCACACTTACCCGCTTTTTCTGCAGCGTAAACATAGATACACTCCAACAGCTAGCATAAGTGTCAGCACCATACCCAAAAGTCCACCAAGAAGAACCCCCAAACCAGTTATGTTGGTAAAAGATTGTGTCGATTTGTTGGGAAGTATGTTCTTGGATTCTGAAAATATATATCAGATTGACTCCTCCAAAACATTAAATCACATTAAGGTTATGACACAACATTGAAATGGCATTGCCAATACGAATAATCTCTTATGTTGTGAAGTCGGTCATACTTAAGACAACGTTACAATGGAAAACAAGAGTATCGTGAGTTCTACCAATGGCGCGTCGACAGCGAGGACCGATGTATCCATTACTGCACCCGTGAAGACATCTCCCGTCCATCACGTCACACGTCCGATTACAGTGACCGCAGTCAGACACACAGTTCACTCCGTACTTCCCTTCAGGACAGGCTAAATGTGAAACACTGTTGTCACATAAATTAAATCGGAAATTATAAATATATGAAACCAAATTGACTTCACAGCCACATGCATTTGACATACATGTGCACATATTGTTTTTCTCTATTGGTACATGGAATTGAATTTTATCCATAATGGATTAAAAGGTAAGTTTTGTTACATTTCAGTTGACAAAGGTGTTTCCTCGTTGCAGTTGATATATGAGATGAACTTAGAGTCGACGAGGACGTTTTGATAAGTCTTAATAGAGACAAACGTTTGTGGCCTTAGACTAGATCGCGAATTGTGTTGCATGCAATTATAAATGTTCATGACACAAATTTCAACGAGCATTACCAATACGAATGATCTCCTTTGTTGCGAAGTAGATCAGACTTAAGACAAAGTTACAATGGAAAACCAGAGCAATTGATAATATACCAATGGCGCGTAGACAGCGAGGACCGATGTATCCATTACTGCATCCGTGAAGACATCTCCCGTCCACCGCGTCACACGTCCCATTACAGTGACCGCAGTCAGACTCACAGTTCACTCCGTACTTCCCTTCAGGACAGGATAAATGTGAAACACTGTTGTCACATAAATTATATCGGACATTATAAATATATGTAACCAAATTGACTTCACAGTGACATGCATTTGACATCCATGTGCACATATTGTTTTTCTCTATTGGTACATGGAATTGAATTTTTCCATAATGGTTTTTAAGGTAAGAGTTGTTATATTTCAGTTGACAAAGGTGTTTCCTCGTTGCAGTTGATATATGAGATGAACATAGAGTCGATGTATACGTTTTGATAAGTCTTAATAGAGACAAACTTTTGTGGCCTTAGACTAGATCGCGAGTTGTGTGGCATACAATCACAACTTTCAACGAGCATTACCAATGCGAATGATCTTTGTTGTGAAGTCGATCAGACTTAATACAAAGTTACAATGGAAAACCAGAGCAATGGATAATATACCAATGGCGTGTTATTTCTCTGTTGAAAAAAAAGGTTTCTTCATTTCAGTGGATAAATGACAAATGCCGAAGTTTTCGAGCAAGGTTTGGCAAGTTCAGTCTTAGCAAAACCAATCGTTGTAGCTTTTGACTAAACTGTGAGTTATGGAGGTCACGGTTTTTAACCCACCTTCTTTGCATAGATCCAACTGCCACCCCGTCTCACATCCTTCTGGACAGATTCCGGTCACGTGGTGACACGAACTGTTGTTACCACACCTGCCACAGGCATTGCTGCAGTCGACACCGTAGACACCACCAGGGCAAACTAGGCACATCATACAATAAGTAAATTTACTTAGTTTAACAGGGTAAAATATGCAACCCAAAGTCAGAGAACAGCTAGACTACTGAGCACAAAAGGCAAAACAGCGGTGAAAACCACATGATTGGAGCACTGACGATTAGTGATGACGCCAGGTGCTCGCTGACAGAGTAAGGATATTCTGCTCTACCCAGTAGCATCTGCCTCTCACACCTGACATCTACAAAACGTAACTGTTTGTTGCCTAACGCCGCACAACAGTGGTCCTGTCGACAGGTCATGTGTGACTAATGCCATTGTACAAAGTCAAGCTATTACAGGAACCATAGTTATGACATAGTACTTAATAAACATAACGCTGCCATTCCAAAATGTGTTTTGTTACATGAATAACCCTTGTTCACTCATGTTTTATGTGTTTTTAGTTTTAATTGTATACTTCCTGGTAAAACTGACACTTAACAATTTCACATAGTTTCGGAAGGACTCTTACATTTTCACTAGTTCACAAACAAGTTCCAGAAATGAATTCCAAAAGTGAATGTCATATGCTGCCTTCCAGTGATTCAGCCAAAATCATGCCTGCTGATAATTAGACAGTTTTACCCTGTGTGCAGTCTGTTCCACGCCATCCAGCCTTGCATCCACCGTCACACGCACCTTGTGTCACATCACAGCTTGACGCCATTTTACAGTGTCGAGCAATGCATGACTTCCTACAATTAGGTCCATACCTCTGTCCTGTCGCACAGCCTGGGGGGACTGTCGTTAACGTTGACTTTGGAACTATATATAACAACTAACGTACTTCATAAGTTGAAATATATAATGACTCTATTGAGCCAACTGGAAATGACATTGTTCTATTTTGAAAATGTCGTGAAAGTTATCTGACGTGCAACTAGCTGAACATATAACATTGTGAAATTAAGACGAATGGTTAACCCTTCAGGACAAAAACTAACTTTGAGCAAGTTTCTAACCTCATCTGTTTGTATTGTTTAAACCTTAGTGTCCTAACAAAATTATCTTGGATCAAACATTCAAAAACTCATTGAGGAATAAAACTCTACAACAACCCTATGTATAGATGAGGTTGAAATAGCACAAGTTGATTGGTCTGTAGTATTAAGGTGTTATGATCACATTCTCGATTGTCCTATTTCATAAGATCTATATTTGCTGTTCAGCTTACAATGCGTGCTGGTGACCGTTTATTATTGATGTGACGTGAAACTAGCTCCCCCAAATAGTTTAGCCTATTAAACAATAAGCAAAAACGTGACTGATAATGATGTAAGATTGTGCGATTTGTCTCATTCAATATGACAAAAATGGATGGAAATGTATTTAAATATTCTCCAATTTTGGATCATACAGTTATAACTAAAAAAACATAATGACGTCTGCTAAGACGTATTTCGAGAATGATCCACACAATGAAACAGAAGTACGTCTATAGACTGTTTGGAAAAACGAAATGTAAACTAAAATTTAAGATGATAACAAAAATACCAAGGACTATGAGAATGCAACTAAAAAGCTAAAACTAAAAATATTCATCAAAATTCCATGCAAGATGTTTTTCAAGGACAATGGGGTTTGCAGATGAGTTTGTCGGTATAAGTCATGAGGTATTTTCAGTTTGGGACATAATATCCTAAATTTGGCAGCCAGCAACATTGTTTCTTTTAATAAGATTTGATTCTATACGGAGGCCAACATGAAATATATATATAATTTTATTTCATAGTATCAACCTTTATAGAATTATAAGTGAATCGCTATATCAGTCAAATCTGCCGGAAGTAAATTGAAATTTAATAAAATATGCTTACTCCACACTTCTACTTCAGCAAAGTCTAAAACAGCACCACCTCCTTCATTATTTGTTTCTGTATAGACGGTCAAGTAGCGCCAGGCACCGGAACAGTTCACATACAGTACATCCGGGATGTCTCTACCATCCGCACGTCCTGTGACAGTGTAGCACAATTCACCTTCCTTGGGATCAGGGGAATCCGTCTGTGATGTGTAGAACTGTATGCCTTTACGCCGTTTCATATCTAATAAATGTGAGTATTTGCGTTACACATGACATGCTTGATGAGACTGATACTTTTGTCACAACATGCAATCGATACAAATGTAAATATTAATTACAAACAATTATACATATCAAGAACCGTTATATTTGATTCTTCAATGAAATATTACTTACAGTCATACCTGAAGAAGAGTCTAACCAAGGGAGAATGTACCTCCATCTCGAGGTCTACCTTCCACCATGCATTGGGTTTTTCTTCCTTGGTGTGTATTGTCATTGACTCGTCATTACCATCAGTTACTCCGTCAACAGCTCTCCGGGAATATTGAACTCTCCTTGTACTGCTCATCGATGTTTCTTTATGCAGTGCAACGTTTCGGCCATTACCTGTGACTGCGCACACTCGCAATATATATTTCTTGCATACATAAAGAGTTAAGGACAACATTTTATTAACCATAAAACATGACAATAATGTAAATTATTGTTCTCCTCTATTTCTCCACCACACGTTTGCAGCCACCTGAAAAACATGCTTGTCATATAAGAGTCGACTAACCAGATTGTGTGGTCAGGCATGCGTATTTCGTTTTTGGTCCAGACTCGTTTATTTACAGACAGTAGTAATATAACTGGATTATTTCTAGGTGCGGTACACAAGAAACAAAAAATAAAAATAAATCATTTCAATAATCATATGAAAAGAATGTTTCACAGACTGTTGCTATTGAAATATCGAGTGACTATCGATGTTTTGAAGTTTTTCAGTTACAAGGATTTATATCGAAAATCCAGGTGAAAAAAAAATCGATCGAAAACAGCAAGTTCAGTTTTTTTGTAAGTCAAAATAAGGGAAGTCTGAAACGAACTATACTCATACGCAAAAGAAACACAAGTCGAGTATGCAGTTTACATGTTATTTATTTTCAACAGTAAAGACAAGAAATACTAATAGGGCAAGATTGACAAAAAGTTGACTGAAGACAGTTTAATGGATTAAAAGGCAGATGACATAATTGGTTTTTTTTCAAATGTTAAGGGCTTACACAGTTTCGGGTCAATACCCAAAATGTCAGTCAATACCTAGTGTGACCACCATTAGCACTGATCACTGCCACACATCTCCTGTACATTGAGTGGATCAGGCGATTTGTGAAGGCCCAAGGGATCCTCCTGCACACATCCAGAGCAGCTGTGTGTAGCTCATCGGCAGTTGTAGGGACTGGGCGCACATTGTGCAGACGCCTTTGAACCTCGTCCCACAAGTGTTCAATGGGGTTCAGATCAGGGCTGAGGGCTGGCCACGGTGGAACACGGATGTTGTGTTGTTGCAGAAAGGTCATGGTAGCTCTGGCAACATGGGGACGAGCGTTGTCCTGCTGGAAAATGTACATATGTTGTTGATGTTGTGCAAAAAATGGAACAACGTGGGGTCTGATCACTTGGTCGATATACCGCTGAGCAGTGACGCCGTGTCCCCGACCTTGACCAACATTCACATGGTCAAATACCTGCTCATATCATGACGCTAGGCCCATCCCATGGATCCCTTTCCACAACGTTTCTGTCAGCGAAACGATCACCTCGACGCCGCCAAATTCTGACTCTTCCGTCTGCATGGGAGACACAAAGGCGACTTTCATCAGAGAAGATGTCACGCCTCCACGCCTGATGACCCTGTGCCCACTGAAGTCGTGCTTGTCGATGCCGTGGTTGGAGAACAGGACGTCGTGCTGGTCGGCGACATCTGAGGTTATTGGAACGGAGACGTCGGATCACAGTGTCCCGGCTAATGTGTCGATTATGTATTCCTATGGTCTCTCGAGCAGTTTCACTTGCAGTTAGGAACGGATGTCGCTGGAGTAACGGGTAATCTGCCGATCTTGTCGAGGTGTGGTGACCCGAGGACGAACGCTCTGAGGAAGGTCATCTGTGGTCTGTGTTGCATTGTGTCGATGCAGGAGACGGTAAATTGTGGTTATGTTAACGTTGACGGGCAACATCTTGGACAGACTCTCCAGCTTCCAAACGTCCGATAGCCTGGTTTCTCTGAATTTGAGTTAGACTTGGCTTTGTTGAACAAGGAGTGGTAGGTCCAAGAATCCGCCACAGTTTTATACCCTCTACAGTTCGTGACAGTTCGTGCATTTTCGATTTCGCGAGAAATGGGTGCATGATACCCACATAGTCATTGAAATGGTGCGTTTTAGCGATTCGTTTTTTATGTTGCGTTTTTACTCGGGGCTTCCAAAATGCAACCGAAAATATTGATAACGCCATCAGGCTTCACTACATTCTAAAACTCGTATCAATTTATGGTTTCGTGTTTGTTACCTATTTGCGTAAAACCACTTTTCTTTTGCGTGTGAGTACACATATATAGTAAAGTCAATTGGAGAAAATTCAAGTTGAGCATCTTGGAAAAATAATGACAAAGCGTTTGTTTTTGACAACACTGCTCCCATGATGCATGTTGCCATAGCCATGGTGCACAACACGGAGCCTGTTGTAGGAAATATATACAAGTTCTTGATACTTGAGAGAGATAGAGGGGAACCAATTATAAGTTGAGGTAGGGTGTATTACCGAACTGACCAAGCTCTCGGGTTTCCATACCAACAAGTTAAGGAAAGGTCGTCCCAAAAACAAGCCGAGACAGAAAAGGATATAAGACAGCTTTCAAACAGGGGTTGTAAGGCGTTCTGTTTACAAGCCCTCTGGTTCTCCGACTTCTAGTAGAATTCTGGAGAAAATTAAAGACGCAAAGTTTCCCGGACTACATTAATTATTGCTCTCCACAAGATAGGATTTCGGTACACTGCACGTGGCGATGACCGAGCAGTTTTCAGGGGAAAATATTCCATCCTGTCTCGATAAATAAGAATCATTTCACTGTTTGTTTGTTTGTTTGTTTCAGCTATTTCAGGGTGTTCAATAAATAATCGAGTCTGGACCAGACAATCCAGTGATTGACATCATGGGCATCGATCTAAGCAATTGGGATTCGATGACTCATCGACCAAGTCGTGGAGCCTGACCATCCGATCCCGTTAGTCGCCTCTTATCATGACAAGCATAGTCGCCTCTTATTATGACAAGCATAGCCGCCTCCTACGGAAAGCATGCGTTGCTGAAGACCTATTCCCTACCCGGATCTTCATGTGTTCCTTTCACTGACTACATGTGGCTACCGTCAGATGGACTATAGGCACCCATGATACTGTCAGGTAAAGTTAATCGTGATGTTTTTCACGCCAGAATTCGTGATCTGGGGCTTATTGATGGATGTTTATGTGGAGAAAAAACCCTGGTGAATATCATAAGGAAAAGAATAATAATGTGTTCATGGACTGGTTGGTACATCTGCTACCGTGTTTTGATTTTGCAAATTCGAATAGAAATTCCGATGTATATGCATAAATCAGCAAGAATGGGCGCACAATTGGTGCCTGTGGGATAGCTACTTCTTGCCATAATGTATTATCCCCAAATTTGACATTGATGTTAGCAATGAAGAAGTCCAACATTTTTCAGGTATTGTTTTCTTAATAAACTTCAGATGTCATTTACTTTCGTGTGTTAAACATGTTTGAATTTTTTTGCTCTGCAGCATATAATTTTGAAGGATTGCAAACATTTTAAATCAGGAACACATTTTAAAGCATGCAATGCAAGAACTCCATTCACAAACACGACAGGTTGGTATAACGGTAACGCTATTTTTCAGGGCATTATCATTTGCAGAAGCCCGAGGTCAAGCAATATGTGGGCATTATCAAGTTACAGTGGCCCGCTCATTTTTGATAACATGCGGGCGGTTTAATGATAATTCTATCCATTCTAGCTATAAAGCATGATAATGATATACTGTAGACAAATTGAATGGGAAAGTGAAATTTATGTGTTATTTACTTACCCAAAGCCTTTATATTTGCAAACTGTGTGTGAGTATCATCAACGTCATCTCCTGTGAATGGGCTGTATGATTGGTACGTATTCCACACCTGTACTTCAGCAAAGTCTAACACAGGGCCACTGTGTTCATTGGCTGTCTCAGTGTATAGAGTCAGGTAACGAAAGGTTTCATCACAGGTAACGTTCAGAATATCAGGAATATCTCTGCCGTCACTCCGTCCTCTGACCGTGTAACATAGATTTCCGTCTTTTGGAGTAACAGGATTTGTAACAGAAGTATAAAATTGTATCCCATTACGACGAGCCTTGTCTGAAAATAATGCACTTGTTTACTCTTCTAAGTGAGTATCCACACGAAAACAATTTTCAGTAGGTTTCTTTACATTACAAAGAGCATCAGTCGGTGCCTGCGATGTATATACTATTGGGAATGACCAACACAACTCTACAAAAGCTTGGATGTCATAAATGTTCGATATTCTCTTGTCATCTTAACCTGATGGCAGTAATAGCCAGGATCAGAAACATGACAGTCGCCATGCAGTATATTTATGATATACGTGTATCATTGCAACGGATGTAAGCTTCAAGTTAATTAAATCATTATTGTAACAAATATTTAGGTAAAAGCTAAGTATTTGAGAAATGAGTGAGTGAATGTTGCCTAACGCCGCAATAATACAGCTATTCACGGCGATGACATTTTACAATATTAGTACATACACTTACTAAATTGATGATTTGTTTAAATTCAGTCCGCAGAATGTTAGCCTTGGTAACTTATAGAAAAGAATCTAAAACTGAACACATGAAAAGGTAAACCCTAAGTGTTTCATTCACGTTTGGCTTCTGTTGCAACTTCTAAATAGCGTAACCAGAAACTTGATTTAAACGATGTTGCAAACATCTGTGAAAACGTGACCCGACTCAGTAAATTATTTATACACTCCAAACGAGTTCATCTAGTCCAAAGTCATTAATCACAAAAATTCTAACATTGGACACATAAAAAGTAAAAACCTAAGTTTTGTTTTCAATGCTGGCTTCTTTCAAAAATTCTAAAATAACATAACTAGGAACTTCATACAATATGGTGCATGGTGCGAAAACGTGGCCCTCTTTATCAAAGTATCCATACACTCCAACCGAATATGCTTCATCTTTAGAAACGTATTGCTATGGAAGTGGCATATCATCGTTATGCACATCGTACTTTACAGGTATCAGTGGCAGTATGTATCAACTACTTATTTATCAAAGTACTGAAGAGACAGATATCTAACGCAACATTACTTACAGTCAGATCTGAAATAGAGGATGATCAGTGGAGACTGAACCTCCGTCTCAAGGTCAACCTTCCACCAGGCACTGGGCTCATTCAGCTTGGTGTGGATTGTCAGTGACTCGTTGTACGCGTCAGTCTCCCCATCTACCGCTGTGTGGGCGTATTGTACTCTCCTGGTACTACTCATCCATGTTGGTTTGTTTAGTGCAGTGTTTTGTCCACTTCCTATAACAGTGTGTGTATATTAGAAGCATTGTAAAAGAACCCAATGAAAATATAACGTCAATGATTAGTCGCTCATCTCGAGGTAAATACATCATGTGTGTTGATTGTGTTTGTTATGTTTGTGTTTTGTTGTTTGACGCAGCACTTCTGCAATATTTCAGCTATGTGAAAGCGGTGTTTGTTATGCAGGCTAATCAAATGTATACAATATATTCGCCAACAAGTCTACCAAGTTGTGCTTATGTCTAGCTGTAGTCTACTTTGTGCCATGTATCATTTAATTTCTTCTCATATTTCACATCTGTCTGTTTAGAGGCCGTTTGTACATGAAAGCACAATCATTGGCTCATGGTGGATTTTTTAAGAGAATATTAAAAAAGGACTTTGCAAAAGTAGTCATGGTTCAGTCCATGCCAAGTTTCAATATTCATGTGGATACGAAATAGATTTCTTTCTTTCTATAACCTCACACACCCTAAACACTACACTGATTTATATCAACACGATGACTTGCATGCTAACTTACCTAACGAGAGAATCACACACGTCCCTATTAGCCAAACGATGCACCACGTAGCCATGGGGGGCAGGTTATTGGTTGCGCGTCATTAGCTTGGTTCTTAGAGGTGCAGTCCCTTCCAATATAGTTTTTCATTCAAGATAGTGTTCCTGTGATAAACTATCGAAAAGGGAATACGGCCAGAAGCGCGACAATGCCTTGTTGTCGTGTTGACACACACGCCCATACTGTCCCACTTTTCACAACACGAGGGTTAAACTCCAAGTGGTCCTTAGTATCTCGTAAGGAGCTTTCAAAATGTAATTGTCATTGCAGTGTACCGCACTCAAATAGTTATTTGTTTTAGGAATGTTTTATTTCTATGATATAAGCAGAGGGGATAAGTTGAATCCAAGTAATCGCTTTATGTCTTTAATGTTATTTTCATGTGAGTCTTATTGTACCCGCACTTTAGCTAGTTTGTCATGTTTGGGATTCCTGTCAGAATAAATATATATGAATAATTCCAATACCATTTTTAAAGAAGAATCATGGTAGTGATTCCAAGATATTTTGCAGATTATAGGAGCACGTTCTTTCTGGAGAAGGTTCGTGAAACAAGTTAAGCCTTTTATGCTTTCGTGATAAAGTATGAACGTAGGGAGGGGGCATACGGCGATTTCCGCTGGAACTCATGTACAATTTCTGTGCCTCCGCTGTTACATCAGATGGCTTCTACTTGTGTTGACATATTTACGGTCTCACCAGATTGTAAATGCTAACTCAGGAAAGAAGATACAAAGTGTCTATTTCGCGACAGAAAAGGTGCGACATATGAATTTTGCATCTGTTCATGAAATTGCGTTCTCTATATATATTTGCCATGATTTTCTTCCACTTCCGCCATCTCACAGTTGTGAGGCTTAGAGGGAGGACGTTCATATTGAGGGCATTTCATACGTGGAACAACATATATCACACTTCTCTCAATTCCAAATGTGGAACATTTCTGAAGTATAAACACAGATTATGATCGTGTACATTTTAAAAAGAAATTGTGTTCCTTTGCTCTTCAAAATATTCCATGGTGTTTTAATGAATGTAGAACATTTCCCCATTTCAATATGAAAATGATACTATTTATATCACGGTTTTATTTTACAATTTGACAAACTGGAGTAACCTGAATATTACTTATCACTTGTCAAGTTCACTAAAATGTGACCAGTTATAATATGTCACAGATTTTCTTTCACGTTGAACTTCGCTATCCTATACCTTTATATTTCTGTACTTTTATACCAGTAGAAGGCTAAGAAAACTTTGACATGATGAAAGAATTAAAAACATGTTACTAAGCATTCATTACGATTTTTCTCTAATGAAAGTGTTACTTCTAGTATCCTCAAGCACCAATACTCAGCAATTTGGCAATTGTTAAAATCAAAAACTCTAATGAGATCTTGAGTACATGGTCACGACCGGTGTTTCTTTAGCTCACAAATCCTATCCCTCATCAAACGTCGTCTTATAAATTCTTACAAAAACCAAAAGGTAGGGTGCGGGGAATGTGCATTCCTACTTGTCCATCAGCTGGCCAACATTTAATCCCCAGCGTGTTTCTTCAAGAGGTGGGGCCATTTAAAAAGTGTTTGGGACTAGTTGGGTCGGAATTCACCAAACAGTGAACTGCACATGACTGATCCCACAATTGATACACACAATTAACTTTCCATCCATGTGCGACGTGTCAGCTTCCTGAAGCATGTTCAACACATCATCAGTGGCAAACACAAGTAGCTTGTCATCATCACCATCATTCACACACAACTGTACTTCCGCAATAGACAATTTGCTTCTGTGACGGTAGAGTCCTGATTTCACACTTTCAAAGTATGCAACGGTGGCTGGATCAGGCGCTGGGGATAGGGCACCTTCATACAGCCTCTTGATTGGTGTTACATCTGCTTTCGACCCGTGAAGATCCAGAGTAGAATAGGTCTTCAGCAACCCATGCTTGCCGTAAAAGGCGACTATGCTTGTCGTAAACGGGATCGGGTTGTCAGGCTCGCTGACTTTGTTGATGCATGTCATCGTGTCCCAATTGCGTGGATCGATGCCCATGATGTCAATCACTGGATTGTCTGGTCCAACTCGATTATTTACAGACCGCCGTCATATAGCTGGAATATTGCTGAGTAAGACGTTAAACAACAAACAAACAAACAAAACAAGCATTTTACTCAGTCCTATGTTAATTGCACTGAAAGAAAGTTTATACAATCATGTAATAACATGTTAACTCTGCTGAAGTTCCCGCTTGAACAAAAATGGATTATAACGTAAATTCAAGTATTTAATTGGTCTGTATCATTTTGTTGTTATCGTTTGTACAGTAATACGTATCTTATACTTCTACTCAGTCTTTTTTATTTACTGAATTTAGCGTTCATACAAATTTTATTTGGAACACAGGTGTGATTTTGTGCATTGAACATGATTTTGGATCGGATCCTGACACGACTAAGAATGACAGCACTAGGAAATAGAGGTTATCACGCGATTGTATTTGGGGGTTGTAAATATCCTGCATCCTTAATAGTGTTTATTCCTAATACAGGATATTTACCATCCCCAAACACACAAGCGCGATAACCTCTTTATCATATAATGTCATTCTTTAATTCTGTGCTTCAAAATCGCTTTCCCTCTCTCACAAACATTACCGAAACATTGCGAGTTTTCCTGGAATGCGCGCATTAATATTTATTACGTCACAGGGTAAGTGATGTGTCAGTCGGACAGTGACAGTAGCCAATATAGTTCCAACTGAAATCTGTTTCTTATACAGTGGCGAAGCAACATATACGCAAAACAACATCTGTTTTTAATTGCCTGTCGCGACAATCCATCGGTCTGTCCGTTAGAGTAACTGCCCTTTGTCAAAGGGAAGCTACTCTAACCCTAGTCTATGAGACGTCACAGATTTTCAGTATATTAGACTGTTCTTTTGATAATGATAGCAATTATCCCTGTAGTTTATCCAGATTCCCGATGGTTAATTCTGACTCGATCGCCGAATGACAAGGGCGACGCCATGTTTGTTTATAAACAGTGAAAGTAGTCCCTACTTGACCTTTGATATTTGCATCTCTATCCGCATATGACCCCAACGGATATCGTTTTTATCCGTTGGCTTTATCCTGCCGAGAAACCTACCCATTATATGATAAAGCATATATATGTATTTGGTTCCGTTTGATTCCAACAACAAAACTGGTGAATTTACAGCTGACACTTTCCACTTTGCAAAACGCAACCGATGTTTCACTATATCTGTTTACTCTTAGAACCGTATTATTAGATCGTAGCGTAAATGGCTCGATGCATTTTTAATACTACAATTTTGTTTCTTAATGTACCAGCTCTACACAGCACGAGATTATATCCATCTATGTAGAGGTGGCATTAGTGTTACTATATGTGCGAGACCTGTACACGTTATTGACAAACTTCACATCATGATCCAAGTACCTACTCAGACCTACTTAAAGAACTCGGACGGCCGCTTACAGAGACAATGCTCTTTTCCTGTTGGTGTAACCGCACAGAATAACTTGGCTGGAAAACGTTTGACCAATGTGATGAAGCAAGTTGTCAGAAATACCCATGCAAACAACTGTTGATAGAATAGAAAATGCGAGATCTACATACTGCTGCCATGAAAGATTACGTCTTTCGACACTTCAAAACGAGACAAGAAACTATAGTAGATAACATGTACTCGAAAGTATATACTTACTATGTCGGGAGCTGCAGTCTCTGCCACAAGTAGGAACATATTTCCCCGAGAGTCACACTGATTAGGGTAAAAAACAATATGCATGTACTCGCTGACTGAGTTATGACAAAAACCACACATTTACTATTAGAAATATGTATATTTATTTATCGAACGAGGGAATATAGTATGACTGACACACTGACAATATTACATTGTGTGATGTACAGTTTGAACATGCTTTATGGCAGTGTAATATATTGTTCAACAAAGTTGTAATTGTATTTCATTGTTTCTATTAAGATTAAGTAGAAGTTCAACACATTGTGTTTCAACAATAATTAGTTGTCAGGAATGTATTACCATTTAGTGTAAGAGGTGGTGTGGAAGTTACTATATTTGGATGCTTTTTGAGTCAAGTGTAATATGGAATCGTCTAGAACTGCATGGACTAATCCAGCATGGTATGAAACTTTCTAGAAGGTATTTACACTTTATAAGTTAAAGCATGACTCTCTCTCAAATTGCATCAAGACTAGCAGTTGTGTGAAGATCGTGTCTTCATCCTAGATGTCCAGCCAAGGACTATTTTGAAAGCTTGACCACAGTTGTTGTTAGGTGAATGTTACTATCACTGACTTTATTGCTATAACCTGCTATTGTATTTTCTACTGCAATTGTAATTGTACTGCCTTTTAATTTAAAATTTGAACATCCACACTTTGCAGTGATTTGTATTGATTGGTTAACCTACTGAATTTTATAGAAACATTGTTAATAACATTTCTTTGTTATTTCTTTATTTACGCTTAATTCTTAGGTAGATCACTTGGTAAACTTATTGTTTTACAGGCAACAAACCATATTTTACACTGACAGTAATTGGTCCAAATAAGATTAAAATCAGGTGCCAAGTTGTATTTCACACCTCAAATTGAACAAGCCTCTTCGCGCAGAAAACCTTGCAAATGAAAACATCGATCGTCTATACATTGATGAATATCACAATGGCTGGCGAAAACCTTTTAGAATTGTAGACGTTCGATATCAGAAAAAAAACCTCATTAAACGTAAAATAAACTATCTATTTTGTTGTTACACTTTCAGACTGAAGTCAATCATTTACGGTCAGTGACAATCGCCACAAATAAGCATTCAACGATATCACTTTATCATATATCAACATTGACAGCCTGAAATGTATTATCCCATTCATGCTTATTAAAAATACTTCGAGTATAAAGGATTTTCACTTTTCATATCATACGTTACAGCATAACGAGTGTGTTTACCTACATTAAAAACAATTTTTCCTGCCAAACTGTCCCCCTTCTCTTGTTCACCAGTCTGCTGCAAGCCCCAAACAAATATATAAAATCATATGTAAACTTTTGGGTAGTTTTTAATCATTAGCTATTTTTTTTAGTTTGTCAATTTCGAATGAGTTATCAGTTGTAGTATGATACAAGGGGGCATATGATCTGGTACATAATGGTATAACGGTAAATATAAAACGTCAAAGCCAGTTTCGACACATGGTATTCGCGAAAAGGGTAAGCATGTCCTGCCCAACCGGTAGCACCCGCCACACACAATTTGCATAAAGAGGTTGTTGAGTTGCCTGACAGCGCACATTAGTATTCTTGTCATGTACTCGAACACTATTTCATATGACAGGTGATGACATACCTGAATATAATATCTGACTCATTGAAACTGCTTTCTCATTGACTGTTGTTTGATGTTGGGATACATGGGACCTTGACCTTCAACAGAGGCCACCCAAAATGAAAAGAAAATCTTGTGGAATCCAAATCATAAATACAGACATTGTGAACAATGATGTTCTGAGGTCAATTTCACAGATTTGACCTTCACCTCCACTCACCCATATGCCCACATAAGTCGCGTTACAAATGTAAATCTCTATACTGTGCAGATAATACGTTCTGAATAAATAAACATTAACTGTGTTCACTCATCCAAATATGTTCTGAATTTAAATGATGGAGGTATAAAATAACGATATTTACGAGGGTCCCTTGGCTGTTGGTTTTGCTAGAAAGTATATTCGAAAATGGGAATATAGTTAATCCTTTAATGCACGTAACTTATTAGATAAGATGAAAGAATGTCATCCTGTAAATTCCTGTCGTCTGTTTTGACATGAAATGACAAATGCAATTTTGTCAATATATTTTGCTCTGAACATTTATGTTAGTTGCAACTTACATTCAAATGTGCTTACCGACCGACTGACAAAGCAGCACTTTCTTAATTTATTAGCTTCCTGGTAATGTGGCCGGGTAGGTGGACAGTTTCAATTAGTGGATGTTACTGTCATTTGAAACCTTTGAGTGACCAATCAGAATCAAGTATACTAATTCACGGCAAAATTGTGGTTTCACACGTCCCCATTAATAAGGTAGAAAAGGCTATCCACTTTTATGTTTATCATAGGGTCGGTCATTAAGCCAAACTCACACAATGAAGCGTTCTCTCCGGTCATTATATTATAACATGATTGTCAACTTTGTAACGTGTTAGTATGTATATCCTGCATTGTAGCTTTTTCGAAATAGATATAGTTGAAAAAAGGTTACAGCTCTACCTTTACATGTCATTTTCTTTAATGTTTGTGATGTTGACAATCATACCTGGCTTCGAATCTAAACCACCATCCAGTTATTCTGCAGTTACAATGAAGAGAGTATTTCCCCTTGATGAGTCAAGCACATATCACATATTATATTGCTAGCGCTCAACAAAATTGGGGGCATGGGTGGCCCAGTCGTCTAAGGCGCCGCGATTTGCTGTGCAGAGTTGCATCCCTTGTGCACGCCAGAAACCTATGATTGTGGGTTCTAATCCAGGTTCGCCCCGATTATGTTTCTAGGTTTGTCAGCAGCATACCCGTACTCGTGGGTTACACCGAAGTGGTAAACGTCTGAGACCTGCATAACTTCGTGCTTTCCTGCCACATTAAGCTGACACGCCGTGATATAACTGAAATACGGTTAAACGCGGCGTTAAACACAACTCACTTACTGAATGATGTTTATTCTCGTAAATCACGGCAGTGATACAGAGATGTAATTGGACACAGGAATAAGATACAATGAAGAAAACATGTCAGTGGAACATTTCCATACATGATCTTATATAACTTGCCAGTTTTAATAGAGTTGGCTTATAAGTAATGGACATCAAATGAGAGAATTTTACGGCAGAAGGATACATACAGTAGTATTGAGGCAAAAACTTGTTTCTAATTTCTGAG